CGAGATAACTCGATTAACTTTATTAAAAGATACACTTATACACGTAAATTTGTAAACGGGAACGTGTGTTTAAAAATCAAGACCTTTTCCAAAGGTAGATCGGAATTTAGGACAGTTTGAAAAAAAAAAATGTAATTTTATATTTAAATTAATATGACTAATTATAGACAAACCGACGCCAAAAGCATATACATTCCGTTCAATAGTTTGAATCACTCTACTTTATATGTAAATTTTCACATGGTTCACTAATAAAATTCGTACAATTTGTTAATAAAAAATGAATGTTTTCCGCTTTTCTATCAAAAAAAGGAGAAATCTGAGTATTACCATACGTTCTCATTTTTTTAGAAATAAAACTTTATAAACAATATAAAAAATATTTCTAGAAATCATAAAATGATAGAGTTGAAATATGAAACTTGTCTATTTACCAATAAAACAAGAATCTGAGATACAGTAAGCCTCTTTTTTAAAAGAGGGACGAAAGACACCAGAGGGACAGTCAAACAGTCAACAGTCTAAAGTGTCAGTTGCTAGCATAAAACTCTCATATGTCGTGCTTTCTGACCTAGAGCAAACGGTAAATGTAACCCTTCCCGAAAGCGAAGAATCAATTATTTCTTTGTAGAGGCTAATAAGTTCAGCTAAAACTCTATGATTTAAAATGTCTAAATGTATATAAAATCAGAATTCAGAAATCACAAGCGACAATTGCATATAATGTTTGAAAATGACAACATGATTTGCGATGTTCTTTCCGTTTGAAATTAATAATTCATTCATTTTATTATAGTTTTGCTTTGAGCAATACATTGTGCCTATCACGACTTTGTTACGTCTAATTCGTAGCCAAGACTTGCCGCTGGAAAAATTCATATTGTGACTCGATTCTTATCTCCATTGTGTCAATAAACCTGATAATTGGTGCTTATAAAAAGACAATGAAATTAAGGGGAAAATAGATATAATGTTTCAGCACACAACAACTTGTAGGTTAACAAAGAAGGTCGAACGCATAAACTATATATGAAGTGTTATTTTAAATTGTTTTCAATAATATGAATGATTACATTTGCTATGTTTATTTGTCAGGTAGATACAGACAAAAGAGACATTTTTTTGTTCCCGATTGTTAGTTTTCCTGTTAATTTTTCCTGTTTGTTTTGGAAAAGGGAGGGGGTGTATTTAGTCCCTTTTTAACGGTGTGAATATTTCATTAATTTTTGGCCATGTCCGCATCTGTAATCTGTACATTTCAGTTAACGAAATTCGTGTTAAACTGGTATATTATTATGTTAAAGATTTCGTTACAACAAATTAATTAAAACCAATACAATTTGTTTTCTTCATATGCAATATGAATATTCAGCCCATACGCGTGTAGTCATGATCATATGCGTATACCTATGTAGTCATGACCATATGCGTATACTTATATATTCATGACCATATGCGTATACTTATAAAGTCATGACCATAGCTTAAACTTGTGAGTAAAATTCACTTCTTCTCATTATTCACAGTACGATGATTTCCATATGATAAGTTAAGTCAAAATTTCATTTTTAGTTGAAAGTTTTGATTTATGACTTCTTTAATGGTAATTACTACCTTAGGCAATTTTCAGTACTCCGTGTATACCTTACAGTTGTCAATATAATTGAATTTGATGCGACTGTCATACAAGTGAGAGGTTTAGCTAGCTATAAAATCAGTTTCAATCCACTATTTTCTACATAAGAAAATGCCTGTACCAAGTCAGGAATCTGACAGTTGTTATCCATTCGTTTGATGTGTTTGAGCTTTTGATTTTGCCATTTGATTGGGGACTTTCCTTTTTGAATTTTCCTCGGAGTTCAGTTTTTTTGTGATTTTACTTTTTACAACAAAATTATTTTTATTTACCGGTGTACGTTATTTCATTTGGCGGCATTTTGTCAAAGGTTATGGTTGTCTTTCTGATATTGTTAAACATCTAACCCCCTTGTTTTATTGATTTTGTATTAACATTGTGTCATAGATCAAATTTATTCGGTCAGTGTATGTTCACTTGTTTAATTAAGCCATTTCAATTGATATTTTATAGTGTGTCCTTCTATGTTGTAATGTTACACTATTGTTTCAGGTAGGGTGAAGGTTGGCTCCTATTAAAGCGTTTAAACCCGCTGCATTTGTTTGCACATGTCCTAAGTCAGGAACCTGATGTTCAGTGAATGTCGTTTGTTGATGTGGTTCATAAGTGTTTCTCGTTTTCTCGTTTTTTTATATAGATTAGACCGTTCGTTTTCCTGTTTTATGGTTTTACATTAGTCATTTTTGGGGCCCTTTATATCTTGCTGTTCGGTGTGATTCAAGGCTCAGTGTTGAAGGCCGTACTTTGACCTATAATGGTTTTACTTTTACAAATTGTGACTTGGATGGAGAGTTGTCTCACTGGCATCCATACCACATCTTTTTATATCTATTTCCATTTCTATGCAGCAACATTCCAGTAGCGCCTGCATACGGAGTATATATCTCCCAGTTGAAACCATATTCCAGGGCTTGTATTTCCTATCATAATTTACTTAATAGAGGGTAGCTGCTCACAGGGAAGCTATTGAACCAAGAGTTCCAAGTGGCGAAGTTGAAATCATACATTCGTAAGTTTTACGGACGCCATCACGAGTGGTTGTCTGTTATTGAATATCTAGATCTGTTTTACAGATGATAGCGGATATGTTCCGAATGTCGTAACTATAATCCCGTCCCCTTTTCCCGAATGTAACCTATCGAATTAGACTTATTACTGGGTTTGTACTAACATGAGCAACACGTCGGGTGCCACATGTGAGCATGATCTGCTAACTCTTTCTGGGCACATAAGATCACCCCTAGTTTTTGTAGGGGTTCGTGTTGCTCAGTCTTTAGTTTTCTATGTTATGTTTTGTATACTATTGTTTGTCTGTTTGTCTTTTTCTTTTTTAGCCATGGCGTTGTCAATTTATTTCCGAATTATGAGTTTGAATGCCCCTATGGTATCTTTCGCCTCTCTTTGATTGTCTGTACCTGTGAAATATTTTTATTAAAAACTTGATATTTCTTACCCTTATGTATGTTATTACATAAACTCTGAAGTCCGATTTTGATTGCTGATAAAATTAAATTTTGATGTTTTAAAAAAGCATTTCGCAAATACAGCATTTTATTTTTTGTTATATTACATTTTCTGTACACATTTTTCTGCACCTATTACAAACATTGAATACTTGATTAAATGGAATCAAATGTTTGCATAGGGGCGATATATTTATTAATTTTGAATTATTTCCAAAATCGCAGAGAAAGCAGAGGTAAATTCGCGCACTGAAAGATAAATGAAACAAATACAGTTGCATTTTCGTGTCGAATCTTACAAAAAAAAAAAAAAAAAAAAATTAAATTTCTATTTAGACATGTTACAGTTGTCTTTCTTTCCATAAATAAAAATCGAAATGTTTCCCGAGGTAAAAGACATATTACTGTACGTTTATTTATTTTTGTGCACCTTTTCAATCTTAATTCGTTAGTTTAATTCTGTGCAATAGATATTTTGTATATACAACGGAATATATATGTATATACAGAGGAATATTTTTCCATGACTACATACAATATTGTCGTATGGAGTATTCATTTCTCAACTCATACCATATTCAAACGCTGTTTCTCAAGACTCGTCATAGGTGTATACGCAATAAATGTATGTGACAGGACGTTTAATTATTTTCCTCGAATAGTTCATCGAAAGGTAACCAGACCTCATTAATAAATATTCAGTGTAATCTTCTAAAATAAGAGAGGAAGTTTTTAAGTTATAGATTGTCGGTGCTGACGTTGTTTATCATTGAATATACTTTTTCAGTTTTCGCTTTAATTGTCTTTTTTGTACTACTATGTCCATTTGGTCGTATGAGTCTTGACGAGTCTCAGTATTTGTGCTTCCGGCTTTCGAATTTTGGCTTTGCAGAAAAGGTCCGACGAAGTTTTTTTATAATGTTAGTTTTATTTTGTGTACCCTCGTATTCATATTTTACTTTAATTGTACTTCGTCGGGAAAGTGTGTATATGTCATCAATTTTTACTATACTGTTCTAGATGAAAAATATCAGTTTCAACAACATATTGATGACGTCTTTCTTAGATGTATATATGTGTATGTTATTGTTTTTTTATTTATTTGTTATGTATGTACAGAATTTTGGCTGCTGGATCCCAATTATTGTAAGCGTTAACCAATTATGTCTGTTTATGTTGTTGGCACTAGAACGGAACTACATAAAACTGTCATACATAATTATCATCTTAATTACGTGTTATAGTGTTCTTTTTATTTGTCTTTGTATATTTTTAATTCATTACGGGTTGTTTCCATATATCTCAATATAATGGAATTCTATGCGACTGTCATACAAGTAAGAAGTTTAGCTAGCTATAAAAACCAGGTTCAATCTAACATTTTCTACAAAAGGAAAAGCATGTGCCAAGTCAGTAATATGACAGTTGTTTGTCATTCGTTTGATGTGTTTGAGCTTTTGATTTTGACACTTCATAAAGGTCTTTGCGTTTTTAATTTTCCTTGGAGATCCGTATTTTTGTTATTTTACTTTTTATGCAAGTGGGAGGTTCAACCCGCAATTTTTTATCGCAAAAACTGTTTTCAAGTCTTTCCGTTGGTTAATATAGTTGGGCGTTTATTTTGACAAAGGTTATGGACTCCCCTCTTCTAATTTTCGTTGGAGTTTGGTACTTTTGTTATATTTATTTGTTTTCAATAACATTGACTGGGTACTACATATAGGTTCTGTTGGAATTAACACGATTTTTAATTGTAGCCGTGACTTCTAAACATTTTATAAAAAGGTATTAAACAAAAAATGTATCATAATTAACTATTTAAAAAAAAATTATATATAGATTATTTGATTTCCTCTGAGCTTTAAGCACAACTTCCGCATTTCATAAAACGACAGGAAATTTGCAAATAGATATTGATACGTAAACAGGTTTCACCATAGCTGGTAAGTAATACATTCATGAATTGATTACGTTGGTACAGTGTTGAAGTGTAATCCAGATACATTTTCTAAATGGATAGTCTCATTTAATAGATGTTTACTGATAAGAAAAATAAATATTTACAGAAAAAAAACATTTACTGTAAATCCTCGACCACAACGTCTCAAAACAAACAGATCAAAAAGTTAAAGACCATTAAAAACCAAATGTTATGTTAAATCCGGCTAAAGCTATCTATTCCTCTGAGTTGGAAGATGGTAAACTATACTTGATATGATTTTATAGCCAAAACTATTTAATCGTACTATTTGTAATTTTACTGATTTTGTCTTATTTTATTTTTTTTTCAAATCTGACTGAGTGTTGATTGGTACGGCGGGACAACATATATGGCAGGAAAAGCTTATCCTATCGGCAAACACGATCTCGCTCTTTGTTTTTTAATTCATGCGATTTGCTTAGTTTTGTTTGCCACCTTGATTTGTATCATCTTGATCGATTTATGAGATTTGAACATCGATAAACAACTGTCGCCTTAATGTAACATATAATATTTAAAGGATGAATTGCGAAATCAATATTTAGCTGACCATGACTTTGATAAAAAACAAAACTTTTTAAATACCACTATGATGGACTATTTGTTGGAAAACTGACTACTTATTTGAAAATGCGATTGTCTTTAAAGTCATCTGAATTGGGTTTCTGTTAATTATAATGTTGAGGACATTACTGTGCCAATACCTGCATATATATTACACTAAGTCCTTTCCACGTATTTTTTTTAACATTAATTAAGAATTCAAACAGTATAATTGACAAAAATATTTCTTTTCTTGCACTTAACTTTTGTGTTTTGGTGCCGAATATTTCATTCAATACGACAATGGCAAAAATTACGCGGAACCAAGTTCTCCTTCTCATCATTAGTAAAAAATTGCAGAAGTATTTCACATGCACAATGACAACCTGATTCTGCGTTAAAGGAATACTTAAAAATCGAAAAGACGCATGTTGTAATTATCATAAATGTATATCTTATACATTCAAATAAACAGGTAAACAGCCTTATTGCAACTAATCCTTTACAAATATATATTTTAGACAAGAACACATGGCTCAGGTTGCATTCAAAACGTGTGACATTTGCGCTAGTGCTCCAGAAAGACATTTTTGTATCGACTGTGAACAATGTTTTTGTGAAAATTGTAAAGGCTTACATACAAGACAAAAAACAACACGTCATCATGAATTTCAAGAAAGTTCTCAGATGAAGATAATAGTGAACAATAAATGCGAGGAACATGGTGAAGATTATATTTTTATTTGTGAGACATGTAATGTCCCTGTTTGTAGTCGGTGTATGGTTGGAAACCACAATAGACACAGAGTTTCCAATATCCGCGAAAAATTTGCTGCGTCTAGTAGTATTGTCAAAGATGAAATAGCAGAAAAACTGCAAGAAGATACTAGGATCTTAAATGAACTTGAAAAAGGGATCGATACCTATGACTGTCAGGTTAAATCTGTCATCAATGGAATAAAGGAAGACGAAATAAAGATCAAACAAGTGATAGATGATATAGTCAAGAAAATGATTGACGATGTGACAATGAAGACCACTTGTGAAAAAGATATTCTGGTGAATCTCGTTGCAGCTACAAAATCAAGAATAGAGACCGCAACGGCGTTAGAAGACAGACGGAAACATTTAGATACGGAAAGAAAAAATGTGGCCGTCATTTTTGACATGAAAACTTTGCATCAGGATATTTCAAAGATACAAATTGGAGTTCCTCCATCTTTTCCGTCAATAGAGTACAAACAAAATGTGGCCCCTAGAATTAACTTTCTCAGTTGTTTTGGAACTTACGCTTCAAAGTAATAATTGATTTTTTTTACAAATAGGAATATCAAAGATATATGAGATATATTCCTTTATGAGTTATTATCTGTAGGAAAGATAGATCTTTCCTTTGAAGCAGTTGTTTCTTCAAAATGTGGCCGTGATTTTTGGCGATAACAATTTTCAATGAAATATGCTTTAAGGCAGAGCACAATGACTTGTGTAAGGTCAGTATTTACCCCGATTAAAATGCAAATTACAGTCTGTGAAAACATATAATTCATTTGAAAGCAATCGTGTTGCCAATTGTAGTTTTACTGTACAATTTTCCATTTTTAATTTTTTGTTATAGATTTCAGGCAGAAACAATCCTTTCCTCCATTTATTAGATTGAAATAAAAGTACCAGAAAACGTCTTAAGTGTACAGTTGAACCTTCAACGCAAATAATGTGAAGTTCTGTTAATTTAATTTGTCGTTACAATTAAGGGACATTATGTGAGATAAAATTTATAATACAAAACTTGTCGCAACACTTAGCTTTAAAACTTGCCAAATGTTATCACATTCATGTGTATGGTTATTGAAATCAAATAGTACTAAATATTAATGACATACACAGTATTGGAAATCGTAGTATGTCTTATGGATTTCCGTTTTGTTTGTGCTTTGTATATGACGATTTTGTGCTCTCACGTAATTTAATTGCAGGGGGAGGTGGCAATAATAGTCTATCCTGATTTTCATATTTTATGAATTATTGTATCGCCAGGCAAAAGAGAGATTAACATTTTTTTCTGAATAATGTGGTTTTAAATTATAGAAAAAAGTCATTTTCTTTTCTATAGCAAAAATGTCATGAAAACTGAGAAAAAACAGGAACGCCCTCTTTTAAAAAGTTTGATATAATAAATTACAAACCAAGTGATTCGTATTTTTCATACACCGAAACAACTCATTTGTTTCGTAACGGTAAGTCTATGGAAAGGTATAAACTATAAAATTTAGAGTAATGTTCTACGGTCGTGCTTTCATTTGATCAATTCTAACACCATTTGGTGGTTAATTGATATAATCTATACTATATTGATTTTTAAATAAAGGCGAAAGATACCAAAGGGATAATCAAGCCTATAGGTCTAACACGATTAGGCAAGCAAGAATAATAAAAAAAACATCAAAAGATCAAAAGACAAACAACAGTATACAAAACACAAAATAGAAAATAAGACTGAGTAACACGAACCCCAACAAAGACCGCATGTAATCTTTGGTGCTCCGGAAGGGTAAGCAGACCTTGCTCCACATGTGGCATCCGTCGTGTGGCTCATCATTTAAGTACAAACTCGTTAATAAGTCTAATTCATTAGGTCACATTCGTGAAAAGAAGACTGGATTGTGGTTACAGATATCCATAACGGTCAACTAACTCGTGATGGCGTCCTTAAAATTTTCGAATGGATGATTTCAACTTTTGATTAAAAAGCTTCCATGCAAGCAGCACCCTCTATCGAGGAAATTATGATAGGAAATGTAAACTTTGGAATAAATATTATAGAACCAAACAAGCGCAATAACAAGTGTCATCGTTTTAATGAAGAAAAGAACCACACAAGCAGGTTTCGTTTTTCTAGTTATTTTAAAGAGAATCGAAAATGGAACCTTTATAACATGTAATTTATTATCAAGCAAACAAAAAGATAATTAATATAAAAATAAGAAAATGTGGTATGATTGCCAATGAGACAACTCTCCACAAGAGACCAAATTACACAGAAGGCATTATGTAAGAGATCAAGTTGATTTAGGTTCAAACTGTTTATTCCTCCATGTGATAAAAGGCGACATGTGATCGTTTGGGCGTTTGGTATATATATTAGCCAGGAATTTTAAAGGACGTATGGTGAATATATTTACTGCGGTTCTCATCATGATTTTTTTTGTAATGTCTTTATTGGTAAAATACATATATCAATGCTTAAGATAATTAGTCCACAGTAACACCTGAAATATAAATGGTAAGACAAATACATTTAGTTATATTATACTGGAGTGAAATATCCCAGCTGATCCTGCAATTCGATTGGTTACCTTGACAGGGTATATGAGACCATATACCCAGTGAACAAAAACGAGCATCAGAATGGTAGATAATGTTAAAATCAGGACACTCCAGTGTAATATAATTGTTTTTCGGGCTTCACAGGGGATATAAAACACTGACAGGAAATATGAGTCCATATCCCCTGTGAAGATCCCGAATAACATATAGTGTCATTTTTTAAAAATTTTCAATGAAATGTGATTGATTGAAACAGTTAATATCTTTAATAGAATTCGGGGAATTACAACCGTTACTATCTTAATATATTTTATGACTTTAGAGTGCATATAGAATGAAATAAAAATAATTATGTAGATTTATGTAAGTCTAATTTTAAAATATTACATTTATTGGTATGTTTACAGACCTCCAAAATATAAAGAATCACCCGAAAGATATGAGAAAAGAACAGACAAAAATGGCAGATCGTACATAGTAGACCACCATACAAGAACTACATCATGGGATTTGTCGAAAAGATTGGAAACCAAAACTACATTGACAGACCCACGAAAAAAATTTGCAATATGCAATGTTTATGTTTCAAAATAATAAGTTACACCTTTCTAACATTCAGACATACGTGTGCAAATTCATGAGACTTAACATTTAACTGTGTGTATATATGTGCATGTATGTTTCTGTCTCTTTTATATATGTTCATGTATGTTTCTGTCTTTTTTCATATATGTTCATGTATGTTTTTGTCTCTTTTTTATCTGTTCATGTATGTTTCTGTCTCTTTGGAAAGGAACATAGTTGATGTCACACGTTAAGATAAAACCAGTCTACACATGTCGTACATTGCACGTGTTTTTCCCTTTTATCCGTGACGCTTAAATGCATAGTTTACTTTAGGTGTATTATGTACTGTGATTGGTATATTTTTTACACTGCTATTTTTATCATAATACTGTCTTGTTTATTGGAAAAACACAGATATTATTGCTTAAGGTAGCACCTGAAATATTAATGGAAAGACAAGTACTTTTTTTTTATTTTTGTCTTAAAAGTGTAAACTAATCAAAATAAACCTAGTTAGTCTGGATTGCAAGTATATATAATGTGTAATCTAATGTATGCATGCACTTGATTTTAATTATTCTATTACTAGTAGCTGAGCCATGGGTTCCAGAAGGAATGCGCTGTCTACAAGTCTACATAATTTGTTTTCATTTAACAACATGTCTTTAAGATAATTGTTTATTTAAATATTTACCAGATTGCTTTTTGCGTTTTTTTCTGTATATATAATATTTTGCTAACAATATAATACAATTTTTTACGAGTTTCTTTTCATTTTTTCTTAGGTCCCAAATAAAACTATTTGAAGTTAAGTTGAGGATAAATTTGCACTATTGTCGCTCTATTGCGTTTACCCAGTCTAATACTTTCGAACAAGTCCAGAATATCTGTTCAATGGTTTCTATTGAGTCCAAATAATAGGGATCTAAGTACTTTTTTGATAAATTTATAATGTTTTCGTTACCAAAATTGTTTTGAGTCACTATCTGAGCTTTCGTTTTATTTTCCCTCGAGCCAAAATATTCCTTAATGAGGAGAATTCTGGCAGAATTGTCAAGGTCTTCCGACAAGTTTGTCTCATTGATCGGGACATGTAAATTTCAGAAATTAAGGCCCTTCGAGAATAGAGATGCCTCTTTCAACTGGTGTTCAGATAAATTGACCACATTATTGGAGTTTGTATTAGTTTTTTGTGGCTTACGTTTGAAGCATTGTTTTCTTTTCTTTTCTTTAGATGGTACAGAAGGATGGGGTTTTTCAATGCCACCTCTGCGGAATATCCTTTTTTGTCTTTTAAACAGATTTTTAAATTGTATAATAGTGATGTCTTTGAAGGTATCTTCATTAGCTGCACAGTTGTCCGATGTCAGATTATTTTTACAGTTATTCAAAATAGCGTTGAATTCGTCAGTTAGTATTGAGAAGTTCTCCGCAGTGTTGTTTAAGGAAGTTCTTTAACCGCTAGGAGCAATGGTAGAGGGTTTGATCACACTACATTTTACATGCTTGTTTTTTTCATTATCAGATGTTACTCTTTTCTTTCTTTATCAACTTACGAAATTTTGATGGTACCATGGGATTATTTTCAATAACACTTTTCTGATAATTTTTAGAAATATCAGCGTCTTTGTCAGAGTTTGTCTCATGATAAAAATTGAAGATTGAGATTGCATCACATTTTATAAAGTCTCAATATAAATAATTGAAAATCAATAAAAATAATTAAAGATGTTTAAACAATGAAAAAGAAACGATAATGAAAAAAAAAACAAAACAATCGCATTAGCATCCTCTTTTAAGTAACCATGCAGTAAAAATGATGACCTAATGACAACTCTGAATGGTAAGCTCTAATGATTCAGGCGACAAGATATTTACAGGTTCGACAATGTATATGTCACCAAATTCTTATTTTGAAATTAAACCTGGAGAACTATAGAACACTGACGAAAATTATGACATTTTACACTCCCTAGACATTCATGTCATCAGACTAGTATGTAAGTACATAACAAGACAATGGTTACTACGAACACAAGACATAATGCAGGTTACTTAAGGTTCTGCTTTTTTTTTTTATAGAGTTATGTGTCGTTGATGCTACTCAATACGAGACTTTTTGTTTTATTTTGTCTTTATAATAAAAAATATATAGAAAATATTTTTAAGGTAGATAAGACTATTTGATTCTTATTGTGAGTAATATACATAGTCGCAGTATACCTTCTTGGATTGTAACTCCCTTCAATGTGTCATCTTCAGTTCTAATGCAAGCTATGCGTGTTTTGTCATGAACAAGGTTTTGATTTTTGAAAATGTGTAGGGGGTTTCGGTTATGGTTTTTACTATATTCAACACCGTCGTCTGTCTGAGACTGTACATGTACACCTACTTTATTTTTCTTACTTCTGTCATTGTACAATTATCTTGACAAATGTTTAATAGTTCGTTGAATTTAGTGTGCGCTTAAATTACGATACAAATAATACAGAACATTCGTCTATACAGAAAGCATTGGACACAAGAATAGATAATGACACCAAACTAAAGCAGTTCTATAGGTTTCTTCTTGAAATTGAAAATCATATTAAATCTTATCGAATATTTTCCTATATAATATAGCCTCGTTTGGACTATTGAATATCGACAAAAGTCAATGACAGTCGTAAAGCCATCGCCATGGGACGATAACTGTATGAATAATCATCACCGGTCCACGCTGTAATGACAGTTTTGTATTATGTATTTTTTCATATACCGTTGATTATCGCTATTTTACGAAATTTTCCTTTGATCTTGCTGTCAGATATTATAAATATCAGTTGAAAAGGGCTTAACTCATCAGATCGATACAAAGCAGAAATATATCTAACAAAAACACAGACTGGACGTGGACGGGTACTTATACATCCCCACAACAAAAAAACACTAAGTACAGATCTGAGAGTACTTGCAGTTACTGACAGCAAGTTCAAAGCCAATAACAACTAATAAGAAAAATCATTCATCCTAGACTGAAATATCAGTACACATCAAACATCAAATGGATTAAGTGTAAAAAAGACGTCATTAACAGTCAGAGAAAACATGACTTTTTGCAATGCCAAGCTACAGGTATCGACAGATTGTAGAGCCATGAATGTGCATCTCATATATTTTATGATGGTATAATACTAAACACCTAACGGGGGGGGGGGGGGGGGGGGGGGGGGGAGATTGTGCTTGATTTTCGTATGATGAAGACATAATCTTTCAATCAGTTTGATGGAGGTCTGGAGCTGGCATGTCAGTAACTGCTAGTAGTCCTTTGTAAATTTATGTATCATTGTCATTTTGCTTAGTTTCCTTTGTTACCTATTCTGACATCGGACTCGGACTTCTTTTAAGCTGAGTTTTACTGTGCGTATTGCTGTGTATTTGCTAATTTTACAGTGGCTAGAGGTATAGGGGAGGGTTGAGATCTCACAAAATATTTCTAACCCCGCCGCATTTTTGAGCCTGTCCCAAGTCAGGAGCATCTACCCTTTGTTAGTCTTGTATGTTTTTTAATTTTAGTTCACAAAATCAATATTGATACCAATAAAAACAATATTCAAAGATCTAATTATAGTGTTGAATTGGTAGCCTTTTAGAATAAATTTATTTAAAGGATCTATAAGTTTACCCGGATCGTATCTAAATTTCCAGGCACGGTAAACAACATTTTTTGTCTCAAGGCTTTTGGTAATATATTATAATATATAGTTGAGGCTGTACTGAAGGAGTTATACTTTTAATATTTGTCATTATAAATCAACCTCAGTAATAAACAGTTCATATAAGCATTTAACAAATCGGAATATAACACCAAATTAGACAAAACAAAAAATATTTTCTGTCTAAACATAATAATGAACATTATGCAGTCTTATTATGTTTGATATGCTAAAAGTAAAAGTAATTTTCCATTAATTATTTGCTATTGTGTTACTTTTAGTACGAGAATATCCTTTGAAAACAGAAGACAATGTATTTATGAAGTGTATCTATATCCGTTCAATTGTATCCGTTATATACATATTGCCAATTGCTATCATAATACAACGAACAAGAACAATAAGACGGCGTCTTTCAAATTTTTTTACTATTTTGAGTGCCATGTTACTTTTAAATTAACGTGGGAAAATAAAATCTTATTCTAATTTTTCCTTAATATCAAATGAACATTCGATCCTGATATCCCTGATAAGGATATCGAGTTAAGCTAAAGAAAAATGGACAATTTACAAACTATACATAAACCTATAATTGGTCGGCACGAATCAGGGAGGAACCCGGGTATTAAGCAAGGATAAGAAGTTGCTATTCGACTAGTGACACAGGAAGTGTTGCTGATGACAAGGAAAAATCCAGATATAGTCACTTTCTTTGATACAATCTATTTAAAAAAATTATATATATAAGATCTAGAAAGGTTATATAAAATGTACATACATCATAACGTTAAGTATATAAGAAGATAGTCATAAAGCACGAATAAACTCTTAACGGGCCCCACATAACACAAGAGACAATTTATGTTGATATAACCAGGAAATGTTAGATATACTGTTCCCAGATATAACGTAAAAGAAAAAAAAAAAACATTGTTCATTAATTCATGACAAAAAATCACTACACAAACTTAAAAAACCAAAAGCATGAGAACAGCTTTTTATTGCTTTTCTTTCTTACTCTAGAAGTCAAATAAGGACATCAATATGGGGAAACACTCTCAAGTCTAATAACATTTTATCATTGTGATACTATTTCTAATAAGATTTACTGCATATTAATCAAGAAAATTATACCAGTTATTAGAATGATTCATAGAATTCCGCATTTTTTGTTATATTTTGGAACAATTTTAATCGATAAAGCACAATAAACTTTCTTGTAGTATTGTTAGGGCTGTTTACTGATTATTTTTGTGGTAAATCTAAAACGTACGGTAGAAGGGCAGTTCTACAGTCAATAATAAGTAAATGGCAACAAATAGGCCAACCGTTGTTCGTCAAACGACAATCAACTTTAGTAATGCAGCAAATGAATGCATGCCAGCTGGATGAAGGTGGCGACTGGAGAGCCTACATCGAATACTTCACATATAGACAATTGTGCAAGACTTGCTTTGGTTGATAGTTTTTACAACAGCTTTCGTATTGTGAAAATAATGAAATGAAATTTTGCAGTTTATATAGTTTTGAAGGATCTGCTTACTGAGCACATGAGATCACCCGGGTTTAGGTGGGATTTGTGTTGCTGATTCTTGAGTTTTCTGTGTTTTGTTATGTAGGCTGGTGTTAGGCTTTGCTCGTTTTTTGTTTTTTTCTCATGACTTATGAGTTGGGATATATCTTTCATATCTTCCGTCTCTCTATTATATAGCTGAGCAGAAAGATAACCTTTAAGAATATTAAGAATCACCTTCATCATGCAAATCACTCATATTTTACAAAGATCCATTTTCAGCTGATCGACGATTCATTTAGATTTTTGAATATTTTAATAATTTCCTCTCGAGGATAAAAGATTTGTATTATTTGTCGAAAAAGATATATATTACAGATTTAATTTTTCAACTTGCAACATTAAAAACAATTTGTACGTATGAATTGATACAACGCACAATGACTTGATTATAAGTGTTTGTTTAGATCTCTGTAGCTACCTATTTTAGTTTATTCAACATATTGACCAATTGCCATTTTTTGCATCGAATCGATTTTGTTACCAAACTAATCTA